GAAGGGAAGGGAAGGGAAGGGAAGGGAAGGGAAGGGAAGGGAAGGGAGGAAGGAAGGAAGGAAGGAAGGAGGAAGAACAACTGTCATAAAATCTAACAACCCTCACCTGGCAGGTGGGGAAATACAGTAAATTCATTATGTTCATTGCGGACTGACATCACTCGCATAGCATGGCTAACACCATGTTCCATCCATCCCAAGCTCAGAAAGTGATTGGTTCACTTTCTCTCACTGTTCACCGTCCTTGCTCGAAAAGATCCAGTTGACAAATTCCTGCAACTGCAGTTTTCCATCTGCGTTGGCATCGGCATTGGCCATCAAGCGGCTCAGGCTCTCTTCGTTCCAGCGGGGTCCAACTCCTGAAAACCGCTTCGCCGACGACGCCGACGTGGTCATCCAAAAAGCGATCCCTGAAGAAGCAATCCCTGACTCAACCCCGCGTTTTATCCCAATGGAATTCTGATAGCCAAACATGAATTTCCAGAAGAAAAGGTTGACCCCAAGAATGCCCAAAAAGTGTGGACTTGATTGGCTTACATTCCCTCACGGCGCGTGAGCCCCAATTAGCAGAACGCTGCGTTGACAAGAAGAAGTTTTCTATAACTTTTCCAAATCTACTGCATTACCATAGCAAACGGCAATTGCAAGATTGGAAGTCCACTTAAAATTGCACGCTGGCATCTAGAAGCTATCCGAGTGCAGAACTGGCGACCCATACGGGGTCTGGTGCGGCGCCGAAGCCAAGTCAGCCCCACATGCAAAACACCAGCTGAACGCGAGAAGAACCAACACGCCCCAACATGCAAAACACAAGGCGAGAGAATGAGATTTCTGAAGAACGTGTCGAAGCAACGCTTGTGCTTCCTCCCAAAGGCAGCACAGCAATACCTCAAAACAAGGGACGATGTCTTTTCTGGCTGTACGCAACGAAAAACCGAGTTGATTAAAAAAACGAAATGAATATGCATTGACAGACCATCCTTGCAACTATTCTGGCAATAGGCCTCACTCTTGCATCAAGTTTCGTTCTGACATGTTCTGGCATGCGGCCTGACCATGAGACATGCGTTCTGGCATGTGTTCCAACATATATATATATATATACCTTCCACGTCAAGTTTTCAATGTCTCCTGGCAATTGTCCTGACACAGGTTCCGACATGTGGTCTGACATACACTTTTTAGTCTAGTCTGACGTTTGTTTTGGCATCGCATGTTCTTGTCCTGCGCCTTTTTTGACATTTGTTTTGACATATGGCCTGCCATATGCTCTGAAAGTGACATCTGGAAATCTGGCATCCGTTTTGGCATGTCCTCTGACAACGATTCTGACATCAAGTCTTGCATGCGCTCCCGCATTTGTCCTGGCACCATTTGAAACATGTGGTCTGGCATATGCTCTGAAAATGTAAACTGACACTGACTGACAGTTGTTCTGGCATACCGTTTGGAAGCCCATATGGTCCTATCCATTGGAGGCCCATGATATACAGCTTTGGAAAGTCACCCGCGAAGTTGCACGATGACCTCGATTTTGCCAAGCCTATTACATATCCAGGGGGTGGAAGAGAACACCAACATCAAATGTGGAGACACTCACCATGTGAGGAGATGTTGGAAAAATATCGAGCTTGAGGCTTCCCAAATCTCAGCCCGCCACCCAGGTCTTTTAACTACACCCAGCACTCACGACCTTCAGGACTTCAGTGAGCTCGGCCTTGCTGATGCTACCGTTGCCTTGTCGAAGTTCTGGAAAGCTGCCAATACGTCGCTCACATCCTTCTTCTTCTTTTGGCCCTCCCAGAGTGGTGCATTGTGCTGTGTGTGGTTCTAGCACCATTTGCAGGTTGCTGAGGTTGTTGTTTGTCTTGCTGTGGTCTTTGTGTTGGACCACACAACCAGGTCTGATTTGTTGGACCTGGTCATTGTAGAGTTGTCTGTGGAAGTAGGCTTGGTTGGGGAGTCCTGTGCCTCTGCTGAGCTTCAGGTACTCCCCATTGTGTCTGAGTGGCCACTTTGTGAGGCCACCTGGTTTGTATGGTGTGTAGTTGCTGGTGTATGCGATGTTGTTGAAGGTGACTGACAGGGCCTCTTCTTTCCACTCCACTGCCATGGTTGCTTGAGCTGGGAGTGGCTACAGCATTCATCACATATATCCTGACAGCCAACCACACAGAAGCAGAACAACAGAAGCAGAACAGTTTGAAATCAAACCACACCAGGCTGAACACAACCCATGGCAAGAACAAGGTCCAGGCACCAAACTGGGACACCATGGCCCCAGTGGCTTTGAAGCAGCACCATTTGAACAAATTTGGCCCAGATGCTTGGGCAAGAGAGTTGTTCAAACCCTCCCTGCCCATGGTAGGGCCTGGGCTAGGGCCTGGTGGGCCTTAGGGCCCCTTACAATTGTATGCACCTATATATGAATCTATATCTATATGCATATATATATATAGCCTAAACGAACAATTTTCTTGGCAAGAAGCTTTAAATGGAAAGGTTTCTTGGCAAGAGGCTTTAGATGAAAAGATGTCTGGAGAGAGGGTGTGGGTGAAGAGGTGCCTTGAAGAGTGCACTACCAGTACTTGCCAACTATCTTCTAGATCGAAGACTTTGCAAGCCTTGCCACCTGTGATATTTGTAAGGGAAAAGGTTTCTTGGCAACATGCTTTGGATGATAGAGCTTCTAAGCCAAAGGCTTTTGATGATAAGGTTTCTATGTCTAGAGATCTAAAGATAAGCCCCTTAGCACAAGCAGCCCCTTGAGTCAGTGATTCTTTGGTTTCTGGGTCTGTGGACTCCTTAAGGGTAGCCCATGAGGTTTCTGGCCAGGGTTTAGGGTTTAGGGTCGTGTTTTATTGACCTGGCACGTGTCGAAGGGATGAGCGATCCAATCATTTTGGCGATCGGCGATTGACCCGGCCCTCGTTGCGAGCTCTTCAAACGCGTTCGCAGCGATGGCCCAAGAACATCCCTTTTTCGGTTCATGTGGTTCGCTTGGTTCGCGTTTTCGCGAACCGTTAGAAGGTGCGTCTGTGTGTTCTGAAGGCGCTCTGGGTGCCTCTTGGTGAGTCCAAACCACAAAACTGAAAAAATTGTTCTGACCAGCTTTGTCACGACATCCATCTTGTCGTCGAAGAAAATCGGCCTCGCCAGCGCATACGCACCACCCTGGGGCTCGCAAACGAAAGGCTGCAGCGGCTGGAAGCTGCAAAGAGCACATTCTGGGAACTTCACAGAGGTTGGGTTTGGCACTTCTTCCCTCCAGTGTCTGGGCCACCCTTCCACTGCAAGGCCGTAATCTTGCAAGGTGAAAATCTGGCACCTGCAAAAGCCACAACCGTTGAGCCCACCTGGAATTCCATGCCTGGAGAGGCCACTGCGATGCCAGCCTCAAAGCTTGTGGCCTCTTTGAGTGCGCCACCTGTGGAGACCATGATGTCGCCAACCATGGGCAAATTGTCTTGGTTGAACCCCCCAATTTTGACCTGTAGGATGTCACCCGGCAGGAGGTTCTCAACCTGGTTGTAATGCAGTTCTGCATGGAAAAGCTTGCCTGCATCAGGCTGCGGCTTGTAGCTGCCCACAAAGGCCACAGCACTTCCAGGAGAGAGTTTTCCCTCTAGAACTTTGCCCTGAACCATGTCGCCCACACCCTTTTCCTTGTAGAATTTGGTCACCGTCATTTGGAAGGGGGTGTGTGGTTGCCTGCGTGGCAGCTTCAAGACGTCACCACTGTCAAGCACACGGTACAAGGCTTGCTCCGCCCATCCCATTTTGGATGAACTTTCCACGAGTTGTCACCATGCAAGGCAGCCACTGGTAGCATAGAAATGCTGTCCACCATTTTGCCTGGCCAGCCTCGCGTGCTGCGCAAGAGATTCTTGATGTCTCCAACAATCTGGTCATACTTGGAGGACGAGAAGCCAACAGCATCCATCTTGCTCACTACGAATGCAACCTGCTTCACAACACCCCTCAAAAGCCAGGGCAGGACTTGACAAATGAAGCGTGTTTGTTCGTCAACTCCCACATCAGCTGAGAGCACAAGCAGCCTCGGCACTTTGCATGATCTCCCTCCTCAAGTCACGGTGGCCAGGTGATCAGAGTGTAGTGGTATCGTTCCGTCTTAAGCTCAAAGTGTCGTGCGAATTCCATGGTCATACCACGCTTTCGCTCCTCCTGAGGCAACTTTGGCCACGTGAAACCGAACGGAATGGATTGATCAAATGTATACAACCCGGCCCCCAATCCCGATGAACCTGCTTGCAGCTTGTCAGTTGATGATGGCCTTCTTGCAGTACATACTGCTTAAATTTGCAACATGCAACAGAAGTCAAGATTTCCTAGAGCCAAGAAACAGTTTATGTACGCAGCCTGGGCACCTCCAATTCGATTTTGGACCCGACACTTGCCGCCGAATTGAAAAAATCATGTAAACGGATAATTTTTTTACGCAGCCGCTTTCGCGTGTTCTCTCGCATTTTCTCAATGTTCTCGGTGTTCTAATTTTCTTGGCGGAATCTGGTCATCTCCATGTCACTCAAAACAGTTACCGTACTGTACTTAGCATATCTGTATGGTGCACCTTTTTCTGACTGGTTTCGCCTGCACAAAGTGGCATGCCTCTGCTTTTTTGACGTGACAAAGTTGAAAGCTACGGCATACTGAGGCATACAAACCCATCAACAAACCCATCAACCCTTAGGCATCTTGAACATTCTTGAACACTGTACGAGCATACAGCTTTTGCATACAAGCGCAATGCGTATGAAAACAGTACGGTAGCACGAATGGCCGCATGGCATAAAAAAACGTTGCGCAAATACGTTCATTCTGTGCATAATGTTCAGAACGCCGCTTTTCATCAGCGCAGGCCTCGCCCCAATCCATGAAGAAAGCATAGGCGTTGGAGCTCTTGTTGATGGCATCGACCTTTTCTTGGAGCTTGCCCAAAATCCCGATCGCTCAAGCCTCCCAATTCTCTGATCAAGCGTCCTCCCAAGGTGCTTTTGCCACTGCCATGGGTACCAAACAGCGCAATGGACTTGCGCGGCTTATCCTTCAGCATGGCGACAGGTTAGGAGGAAATTGAACTTCGAGCACAAACTGCTACATTGCACATTATATAACAATGTGCTAAGTTGCTGTCTTGAAAGAAAGTTTGAGTTCGTGCAAGGGGCTCCGTAAAATGCTGCTTCATAAACTTCTCCTGTGTGAAACCTGAATTGTGTTTCTTCCACATTGGCTGACTTCAAGTCGCTAATATAAAAGGGCGAGAATTTATATAGTTGCTCGGTAAAGGCAACTGCTCTACCTGTACCTCATGTATTCATCCTGCTTGCGGGCAGTTCACCGTCAATATGTATCAGCATATGTCAAGCATGGAAAGAAAAGGTCTAGTCATTCTCGAGGTTGGGAAAGCATCGATGAAGCGTATGGGGCTCGGAAAGGCCCAGCAACAGCACAGACATATATCGCCTTACATTGATTTAGACTTTACATTGCCTTCTGCCTTCAAACTTGATGCCAGGAGGAATGAAGGCTAGCAAGGTGGGAACAAATGCTTATGAGAATGCGAAAGGGCAAGAAGGATGCTGGCATGAGGTCAAGTGATGTACGCTAGAAGCCGCACAAGAGGGCCACCTAGCCGAAGATGCCCGGAGACACTCACATAATGCCTTGCCTAAGCGAGAGAGGCAGCTACAGCGTTCAGGATCAGTCTTCTTTACACCCTCATCATTTCACAGCATGGCCAGAAAGGAGTCTTGCTACATGGCTTTGCTTGGTGCAGTTTCTGCCTTTCATGGTACGCTACGCGTCCTGTCGGGCGCTCGGCTAGGCCGTACGGACACAGCGCCGGACCGCCAAAAGCAAAACAGCGCAAAACAATGACCTCCAAACCAATAGCAAAAGGAATCTAATAGCGATGGCCTTCAACCTGCTTGCGATAATAGGGGTGGACAAAGGACCTCTATTGTGATTGTGACAAGCGTTCGGTCTGTGCACACGCCGAAATGGCCAGCGTTCGGCCTGCGCGTGCCTGCAGAGTGCGGACAAATGATCCAAAAAACTGCATCGGCGGCGGCCTTTCTTCTCCAGTGACAACAAGCTTATGGACAGGCAAGGGCTCCAAGCTGGAGATCACTTGCAAATAAGAGCAGATCTGCGTTTGGTGTGGCACCCCCAGACTTCGTCAAACAAAGGTCCAACAGTATCGAGATCAAATCAACACTGGCACTGGGATGGCGCTCTTGTACACCCAATCAGCAGCTGCAACTTGGTGATACTTGGCAAGGCGCATCATATCTGTACAAGAATCGCGCATCATATCTGTGTTTCTCAAACTCATTCTTTTCTTCCAGCAATATGTTAATCGAAATCAAACCTCTCTTTGGGACTGGCATTTCTTGCAAACGGTCTCCGCTGGCCTCTCCCATCTCCCTCTCGTTTCCCCAACTTCACATGAGTCTGAAGGCCAGTCGTGCAGTGGGTGAAACTCTACGGATCAGCTGCCGGGTCCACATCGCCTGGAAGCAAAGGGGCTGCCCCTCGATGATGCAGATCATCTGGGAGGTCCACAGATCATGGTGCTTTGGCTGATTTTTAGCATGTGACACCCATGTCCTCAACATCACGGCCCAGAATGCAGCATCGTCGGCACCGCACCAGAAAAGGCAAGGATGTGATCCTATTCCTATTCTGTTCAATGCCTTCTTTTTGTGGGTCGATGGACACCTGGCCTTCTATTTCTTCAGCTTCCTCCACTTCACCTCAGTGGAAGGCAAACGCTTTGGTCTTTTGGAAGCTGCCCACACAATCAAATTCGATGGCAGCAAAAAGCAGCGTTCTCTCACCCACGGCGCGTGCAGAGGTCAGAACCAAACGAGCTGGACGAACCCAAACAACCTGAACACCCCTCACCCATCAGTAAACAACCGCTGGAGACCTCAAAAAACCTAGCGATCTCGAGACCCCTGACATCTCTATAGTCCTTCCAAACGGACCTCCGGCAGGCCCCTCCTTGACCAGATTTTTCGACTCCGCCAGCCCTTCATTGTCCACTCTCTGAGTGCAGCAACCCACGTGGCTCACGTGGCTGGCATGGCTGGGGCTGGGCAACTCCTGGCTTTGTGCAACCGGATTTC